CAAGTCAAAAATCAAGTAAAACTACTCAGCCTACCAAATAGAGAATTCAAAATCATGACAAAAAGATGAGAAGTCAGAAAATGCCATGAGGCAAGCTATCAAGGAGTTGAAAGAAAATGAGACCTTAAAGCAAATAGAAATTCAGGCGATGAAAAAGCCACTAGAGATAAAGAATGCTGTGCAAGTATAGAAAACTGGATAGTTGAAATGGAAGAATGAACCAGCACACTTGGAACACACAAAAACATTAAAACAGTAAGAGAAGTAAAAGGAAAAGGAATCAAAGAATACTTTAAGAGCTATCTGACACCATGAGGAAAGGAAATATAGGTATCAAAGATGGAATCGAGAAAGTATTCAGAGATAGAGAATTTCCCCAATATGAAGTAGATGAAAGTAGACATCCAAGAAGCAAGAACACCAAACTGCCATGATGATAGAAAAACAAGTCACATCATAGTAAAACTACTGAGATTACAAGGCAAGGAAAAGATAATGAAATTCCAAGAGGGAACAGGTAACCCATCAGCCTGACATCAGACTTCTCTAAAGAAACACTATGGGCAAGAATAGAGTAAAGGACACACTAAACGAAACCATTAAATGCCAGCCAAGAATATCCTGTGAAGCTCTTTCCTCTACAAAGAAAAAGGTTATTTTTCAACAAAGAAACTCTACATTTTGACATGACTAAAAACTCACTCCAAAAAAAACGAACAAGCCCTCAAACCAAATCTAACAGAACAATGAACAGTTCAAAAAACAATACAAATATAAAAAGGACAAAATAAAAGTATAGATGCAAGTATATCAATACTGTCTCTAAATTTAAATGGCTTTTTAACTATTCAATAAGACAGTTGCAGGGTGAATTAAGAAACAGAACCCAAAGTTCAGCCTACAGCAAACCCATCTAACTCAAAATAGACAACAGATTGAAAATAAAATGGAAAAATGGCCCTCCCTGGTGGCAGCCGGTTAAAGCACAGCACTAAGAAGCTAAAGCCACTTCTGCATGAGTTCAATCCCCTCCTGCCCCAGAGGAGATCCACATGGCGTGGCAGACCTCTCCTGACCCACCCGCTGTTCCCCTCAGCAGTGTACTTCGTTGATCTTCCTGTTCTGCTCCCCACTCTGTCTCTGGTGAATCCTCTCACTCTCGCATCTTTGGCCTGCACCCCAGTTTTGTATGAATAAAAAAGATGGAAAACAATCCTACAAGCAAATGGACCAAGAAAGGCAGGAACAGCTACACATATCAGACAAAGTAGACTTCAAACTGAAGGTTAAGAGACACAGAAGGCCAATACATTATGATTAAAGGGACAATACAAGACGTAACATAAAATATATCAAGAAACTAATTTCATCTATAAAAGCATCAGAAAATATATCGGAGACTTCAACATGCCACTCAATGGACACATCAAGACAAAAAGTAAGCAAAGACACTAAAGCTCTGAACAAGGACCTGTACAACATGAGTCTAAGAGATATCTATAGAATATTCACCCCCCAAAAAAATCTTGAGTACTCATTTCTCAAATTCACATTGATCATTCGCTAGGCTTCACCATATACTGTCACAAGATAAGTATCAGTACATACAGTAACACTGAAATCATGTCAACTATTTTCTGACTATGAAGGAATCAAACTAGGAATAAATCATGTGCAGAAGTCAAGAAACCCACCTACCACATGGAGACTAAAACCCCTAGTTTCCCACCTTAAATAACTGGAAAAAACAGCAAAGTAACTCAAAAAGTCAGTACAAGACAGGAATTAGTAAGTCCAATCAGAAATAAATGAAATGGAACTTAGGAAAACATTCCAAAAAAAAAAAAAAAAAAAAATCAATGCAACCCAAAGTTGATTATTCAAGAGAGGGAAAGAGAAAAAACAAACAGGTCCTTTGCCAAGCTCGCAAAGAAAACAAGAGCAAAGAGCAAGCACAAATAAACAATATCAAACAAAAGAGGAGAAATCCCCATAGATCCAGCAGAAAAAGTGATCAGAATACTATGAACTATATGCAAGCAAGTTCAGCAAGTTAGCAAAGAATGGACAAATTCCTACAACTCCGCAACCACCCAAAGGTATATATAAAGAAATTAAAGCCAGAACCAGATAGATTTACAAGTGAATTTTACCAAACTTTGGGGGGGGGCTAGAAAAAAAATTAGTACTTATTCTACACTCATCAAAAAAAAAAAAAAAAAAAGAACTACCACATACTTTCTACGAAGCCAACACTAATACTAACACACATACACACACAAGAAAAACACAAAAACCTAAGAAAACTTCAGACTAATCTCCCTAATGAACACTGATGTAAAAATTCTCAATGAAAGGTAAGGATGGTTCAACATCAGAAAAATCAATTCATGTAATCTATCACATCAACCGACAGAATGAAAGCCATGTAATCCTATCAATAGATGCAGAGAAGGTATTTGACAAACTTCAACACCCATTTATGTTTAAGGCCCTCGAAATCCTTGGAATAGAAGGAACATACCTCAACATGATAAAAGCCATATATAACAAACCCACAGCCACTATTATCCTCAGCAGAGAAAAGCTGAAGGCCTTTCCTTTAAGATCAGGAACATGACAAGGGTGTCCACTGTCACCACTACTCTTCAACGTAACACTTGAAGTTCTAGCCAGAGCAGTAAGACAGGAAAAGTATATACAAGGAATCCAATAGGCAAAGTAACAGTTTGCAGATGTATGTTTATTTACATTGAAAACCCTAATAACGCCAGAGAAACTAATCAATACCAAGCAGTTTAGCATGCTAGCAGGATATAAAAAAACACAAAAGTCAGAGGCCTGCCTATACACAAGCAGAAATAAAAATCCCCTTTTCAATTTTAACAAAAAGAATCAAATACATGGGAATCAAACTGACAAAAGAGGTAAAAGACTTATACCAAGAAAATTTCAGAACACTGTTAAAAGAACTACAGTACACACCATGAAATGCAAAGATATCCCCTGCTCATGGATCAGGAGAATTAACATTAACATCCTACCAAAAGCAATACAGATTTAATGTCACCCCAATAAAGTCTCAATGACATTCTGTGGAAGAAATACAACAGTTATAAGATTCACATAGAACCACAAAAGACCTCGAATAGCCAAAACTCTCATGACTAGGAAGAATGGAGGCATTACAATCCCAAACTTCGAGCTATATTACAAAGCTATTATAATCAAAAACTGTATGGTACTGAACAAGAATAGACATACAGACCAGTAGATTTGAATAGAAAAAACAGATATAAGCCCATAGGTTTATGGGCAGCTAATCAAGAGACTTTACAAAAAAAGACATCCTAGTGATTTGGGACAAAATTCTAATAAAAACTAGCAATACAGGATTGGTCTCAGAAATATACACAGAACTGAATAAACTAAACAAAAATAACCCCATCAAAAAATTGGCAGAAGAGCTAAAAAGACTTCTCGAAAGAATGTAGATGGCCAACAAGCATATGAAAAAACATTCATCACTGTAATAAGGGAGATGCAAAATTAAAACCACCTCACACCAGTGAGAATGGCCCATGTTAACAACAAATGTTGGTGAGGATGTGGAGGAAAAAGGAACTCCTCCACTGCTGGTGGGAATGCCAACTAGTACAACCATTATGGAAAACTGGAGGATCCTCAAACCGCTAAAAATGACCCAGCAATCCCACATCTACTATCTACCTACAAGACACAAAAACACTTATTCAAAAAAGATACCTGCACCCCCACGTTTATTGCTGCTTTGCTTACAATTGGAAAGACATGCAAACAACCCAAATTTCCCAAAGTAGATGACTAGGTTATGATGTGCTATATATACACAATGAAGTATTACTCAGCAACCAAAAAAAACATGGATGGAGCTGGAAAAAATCATGCTTAATGAAAAGCCACAAAGAAAAGGAAAAATACCGGATGGTTTCACTCGTAGCAGCAGTCTAACGGACCAGGCCAGAAAATGAACAGCTATATACCATACACATTGTATGAGGGTGGAGTTAGGAATGGGAGCGGGGGAGGAAGTGCACTGGACTATGGTGATGTCATTCAGGTCATCATTTGGTGATGGGATGCTCATTCGGTTTACAACTGAGATTGGAAAAGGCACAAAATGATGTAGAAATGAACTTTTTTAAAGACACATAAGTGAATAAAATAAAATATCACACAACGGAAGTAAGCCCAGTCAGGGTATCAACTTAATTAGCACCAGCCTGTAATTAACCAGTTTGGTTAATTAGCAACAGCTGATTATCAAATCTACTACCCACAGGTCCCGCTTATTTGAGCGGGGAACAGGTATTCTCACAGTAGTTGCCATGTGCCATAAGCCATCGCCTTTCCTGGCCTACTCTGGCTGTCATCTCAGCCCAAGCCACACACGAGCTCTACTGTATGTACACAGACTGGCAACACTGTACTCTTGAGGTTAGTTGCCCAATCCCCGGGGTGCGGGTGCTCACTGTTACTTCAGCACTCTGCTTTTATGTCCACCTATGTGACATACAGGCCCCTTTACTAAGGCCACCCCTTCCTACAAGCTCATGGGTTAGGGCCTGTACAGACGAGCTCCTCATGTGGCCTCTCTAGACCCCACAGGCCACACTCCCCACGTTTCCCTTGAGAACTTCTCACCTCAAGAACAGGCTCCTCAGCACCTCAATATTATTCAGAAAGAAACAGGGCATCATACACAAGTGATACACCTGCCATTAACATCCTTTAGCTGCTTAACCAATTTGGGACTTCCTGATTTTTGTCTTATCTACATTGGCCCTTTCATAAATTACTTCTGCCTGGCCGCAGGAAACCTCACAAAAGGCTACCGTAGGCCAGCAACGCCCCCCTGGCTACTCTTCAATTTTCATCTCCTAGGTGTAGAAGTGATGTAAAATCCAACCACCAAAGTTCCTCCACCCTCTAGCGAAATGTTAGTCCCATTGTTTCCTTACTTCAGCACTGGGTGAGCTCCAAATGGTGAATTGTGGTCTCCTATGAGTCTGCTGCCTCAGGGGGAGCTGTTCTTCACAGGCTATCTGCTGCAACCAAGTCTTGCCCTGTAGCTCCCGCCACCGCTTGTACAACCACAGTGCCTCCAGCGCTGTCCTGGACTGCATTTGTAGAGCTGCGAAGAGACAACCGCAGCCCTGCCTCTGAGCAAGCACGTCTGTCCAGTGCCTTCCCCATTGTGTGCTGAGTTCCCTCCACCTGTGCGGGGACTTGTGAGGCACAGAAAGAGGAGGCTGCCACCTCTCAGTCCTTGGGGTCCTCAGAAGGCTGCCATCCGCGTTGAATCCTGCTGACCAACACCAACTATAGCAGCAGGAAGGCAATAGGAAGGCAGAGCAAGTATAGGAGGGCCCTGGAGCTCACCGTTTCCAGGCTTTTAATGTCCATTCTACACCATAGGCAGGCAGGGTAGGCAGGGCATGCAGGGGGCTAGGCGGCATGGAGGCCTGCTAGCCCCCAGAGAGCCTTTACCTTCACAGGCATTCTCTCTGGCATCCTCTCGAGCTCTCTGCATCCTCCTGGGCTCTCTGCTGCACTCCACCACTCGTTCTTCGCCGCTCGCCCCACCCTCTGTTACGCCTCCCTTATAAGTGCAATCCTCTGCTCAGGTGTGCCCATTTACGCATGCTCACTGCACCGCGCTCAGCTGTTCACCATCAGGCATGCACACCCAAGCTCCCAAACTCCTCCTGCATTCAAGGCCACAGGTGATACCCAGAGAGGCTAACGGCACAAAAGCCTGAGTAATCTTCATTTACCCTACAGCTCCCCATGAAGGAAATGTTCCTATCCACCCCATTCCACTCTTTTCTTTTTTTATGGAAGGCCCAGTAGTGCCCTCCCCAAAATATCAGTGTTCTTACCCTGAGACCTGTGAGTAGATTGCCTTACGTGGCCAAAAGGAACTTAAACAGGTGTGATTAAGTCAAGGGCCTTGACATGGGGCGATCACCCAGCATTAGCCAACTGGATAATCTGATCACGTAGGTCCTTAGAAATGAAGAGCCTTTCCCAGCTGAGGTCAGCAGAAGCTGTGATTACAGAATTGTCAGAGAGGAAAATCATCCCTGGCTGTGGAGATGGAAGATGGGTCATGACCAAGAAATGTCACCTCCCAAAGCTAGAAAAGAGCTTTCTCATTCAAGAAATGACCCCTGAGGGACTCCATCAAGGAACCTCCTCATTTTCCTCCAGAGACCGCTCTGACTTCTAACCTACAAAACTATTAAGATAATTCATAACTTATTTTAAGCCATTCACTTTATGGTACTTTGTTGTATAAACAATAGAACCCCATATTTCCCTATTTCCATCAGAGTCTGCCCACTATTACATTTTAAAGATGAGCTGATAAAGTGATATTTTATTTGCTAAATTAAACAGGGGACGTTTCCTGCTTCAAAAGAAAAAAAAAAATGGTGGTGGGTGTGGTGTGGAAATAAACACCTGAGGGGTCACCCTCTACCTCTGAATCATACAAAGTTGTAAACCTGTGTTATAACAGTGGCAAAGGGGCAGGGTAACACTCCAGACCTAGTGGAAATACCTCTTCCAAGGTATTTCTGAGACTGTGGGATGTTTCACCTTAGCTAGTCCCAAAGGCTGGATGAAAAACTTATCCTTCAGTCACTCGATATCTATTCACCAGGATCAGGCACTGTACCATTTGGCAATGAAGGGGTGGATGCAAGTCTGTTCCATGACTGGGAAACCCAAGAGTTTCCTACTGAATTAGGAGTGCCTCAGTATGCAGACAGCAAAAGCACAAAGGAAAGCTTCCTCTTTGGGTCCTCTACATTTCTCCTAAGAGTGAAATCATCCCATAGTTTTCATTTTCTTCCTGGTCTACCTCAGAGTGCATGATCCCTTCCATCTCCATCCATGTTGCTGTGAATGGCATCAGTTTATCTATTATGATTGCTGGGGGGAAATAATTATAATAAAGTAAATATCAAAATCAACAAGTACTATAAGTTAGGGAGGGAGAGGGGAATAGGATCAAAACAAGAAGGGGAAGAGCACAAGGGACTGTGGTGATGGTGGAGGGTAAATCAGTGGTCAGAATTTTATAGGGACTACAACCAAGATGAGAAAGCATGCACTGAACAAAAATGAAAAATGATGTAAAAAAAATAAATATATATCCAAATAAAAGAAAAAGGAAGGCCTCCTAGCCCAGTGCTGAGGGTCAGGAAAGGCTTTCCAGAGAAAATGACACCAGACTGAGGCCCAATGATGACTCAGAGTTGGTGGGGTGCAGAGGGAAAGAAAGTTCTGTGCAGAAGGAGCAGCAGTGCAAAGATGGAGAGAGAAGAAATGGATGAAATGCAGGATTCTAAGAGAAGGTGTTGGTGGGGGTGGGGAGGTGGTGGGAAGAGGGATTTGTTGAGACCAGAAAAGCCAAGGTGAATACAATGGGCCTTGTAGCCTGAGTTACAAATGCACCTGAGTTAGTCTTCCATAAATTCCCATTCCCTGATGACAAAGGGAAGCATTAGTTCTCCCCAGATCTGTTGCAGAGAAATACCCAGCACAGGAACACAACATGTGTTTCAGACTCTGAATTCAATGTCAGGATACACACCGTCAAGGAGTGTACAAACTGCAGTGTCTGTAGGGAGGGTGGTCTGCCTAACTCTGCCTGGAGAGACAGGAAGATTCAGAATGGTGAAGACCCAGGACTCAGGGCTTGTTAAACAACTTGTGTTTATCTAGGAAATTTTTTAGCATCCACTACGGGTCTTTGGAAGCCATCATGTTCATACACACCTTCCTGCCTTGACATCTCATCAGATTCATACCTCCGTCTCAGTTTATTGTTTTTATTATGTGTTAATCATACACCTTCATAGTGATTTGTTTGCCTGTCTAAGGGTATTTGCCTGAAAAACAATTCTCTGCATACAATAAACTTCCTTGCCAACAGAATTTCAGTTTTTTGTTTGTTTGTTTTTTCAAGAGAGCAAGGTATACTGACCTCAAGAGGACTGAGTCATAGTTGGTGTCAGTCAGTCATGGCAATCCCATTAATAATGTCTCATCACTCACTTTCCCAGACTCTTTTGCAGCTAGGGATGGACATGAGACCCAGTTCTGAGCAATAATATTGTAAACAATTAGAATTCGGACTGCTTAGCGTTCAAAGTCAGCTGGCAAGGCTCCTAGGATATTTATCCTCCTTCCTTGATAAAATGGTTTAATCAGTACCGGGTAAAAAGCCTTTGCCACTCATCCTCCTCCCCCCACCCTAAACCCCGTGTCCCCCCAACCCCCGCCCCAGTTTTTCCACCTTTGGGTACATATGTGATATCTGGAAGCGAGGTGGTCAGCAGAAAACTCAGTCCTTGACATGCATATGGAGGATGATAAAGGGGAAGAGTGGCAAAGTACCTGGCATATTGCTGAAACCACTGAATTACTATCCTCACTTTAAACTACTTAGCTCCAGAGTTCCTTTTATCTAAGATGACTAAACATCTGCATGGCTTAGGTCATTATCGGCCAGGTTTCTTGTTGCTAATAGCCAAATATATTCTAAATTATTTAGTAATTTCCAGAAAGAGGGTCACCTTTCTTCTCATCAGATTGTGAAACACTAACACTGTCCACAAAGTAGTCAAGTGACTGACTGATCACATGAAGATCCCAGACAAAGTTACCCCCATCCTGGAAACAGGAATCTTTCTTTTTCCAATCCTCCCTTCCCACTGATGACTCCTCCTTGGCTGGGAAAAGTTTGCTCTGCTGAACTCATTTCACCAAATATCAACGAATGCTTCATTGCCCCCTTCATTTGCATTTGTCCAGGTCTTTGTTCAAGGTGGTCCCTCTGAGGGCCTGACTTGTTAGAAAAATTGAACCTGTCAAAATTCAGAGTCAGATTCCACTTGGCAACTGCAAAGGTAAGCTGTCACCAGTCCTGTCAACAGTCACAGCAGAAAGAGAGCTATTTATTCATCTAAGACCTTCATGAGTCACAGTCTAAACATTCTATGAACCCTCCTCTGGCAAGTTATACCCTGCCCCAGTCTCTGGAGAGAGTGCTCCCACCCAGCACCACTTCAACACAGCAGACTTGGCTTTTGGCTGTCTAATTTTGGGGCCTAATAAGTGGTCATGTTATTAACAACTCTGAGTCATTATTTAGGACATTCCATCTGGAGTGTGTATGTGTCAAGAGTAGGAGAGGGACAGAGGTCTACTGTGCCCCAAACAAAATGTGAGGCTTCCCCTGGTTATGCATCTATCTTAGTATATCCCCTTCCAAATACAACCTATTCTTTGAATGACAAGGGTTCAAGTCTCCCCACCTGTTGGTGACTGACTCTTTAAACACCTTCTTGTTTTCCAGTATCAATCAAGAGTCAAAGAACTTAATTATACCCAGGTGAGTCTACTCAGTGCTAAGCTAGGGAGGTGGGAAGAGAGGAACTCTGGCCTCTTTTATAAATAGATCTTTAACTGGAATTTTTCATTTTTATCTTGAATATGATTAACCCATTTGGAGCAATTAAATCCCAAGCTTGATAACACAATTAACGGACAGCTTTACTCCTTACCGGTTCCTCACAAGTGTGGACATAGTTTTGTTATGTCTTTTAGAAAGGCTTCCCTGATTGCCCAGGTGTGCTGCATTACGAGTCCCTATACACCAATTACTTCCTTAATTTAAATTCTTATCATACTACAATTGCCTCTTCTCACATCAATCATCACCATGGAGTGGCAAGGCCTTAGGAAGCGAGGTCGATCTCACGTTGCCAGCCCAGTCCTATATTCCCTAACACACCTCAAGTAATACACAGCAAGTTGACAAAGTAAAAAGCAGGAACTAGCTCCTGCAACCTGGCAGATACCAAAACTGGCGTGTGGATCACTAAACTTGAAGAACAGGATGATGGAGGCTTGGACTTGCCAGAGGGGTGTTTCTGGTGTTGGATCCATCTGTGTTCAGGAAAATATCAACACCTTGAGGACATGGACCAAATCATGCAGGTTTCTGTCCCAAAACAAGGAATCAAATCTTCCCTTTCACCTCTAAGTCTCTATGGGATCATATTCTGAGTTCTGTTTGTGTAACAACTCAAGATCTTATGGAAAATAGGATAGGCAAGGGCATAGGACAGACAGGTTTCTGCCAAAGCTTTGGGATAAATGCTGTGGAAACGTGAAGACATGCGTGTAAACATGCAGGAAAACAAATTTCCCAGTGGGCAGAGCCCTCATTCACTGGAAAACGTTAAAGTCCCAGTTCTGTCTGAAAAGTCATTGTCAGCGTGGGCCATTTTTGTGAAAGAACTGTGTGGTGCTATTCTGGGGTGCTCTAGCCTAAAATCAGGAAGCAAGGACACCCTCATCCTTGAGATGCTAATACCATGAGGTGAGAAAAAAGTCCTCCCAAGAGCACATAGTCAAGTCTGCAGAGGGAGAGAAAGCACAGCAACGCTTTGTTAAGAATTATCCCCTGGGTAAAACAATTGGCAAGAGCCCAGTAAAATTACTGGTTAGCAATC